GCCCTGGAAACATCTGGAGATAAAGCTGCAGCTGCTCCTGCCTCTGTAAACCCCGCCCCGGTCCCTCGGGGGCAGCGGCATTCTTCCAGCCCGGGAGATCCTCAGAAGGTGACAGGAACACAGAAGGGACAGAGAAAGGGATGAAGAGAGAGGCCAAAGAGAAGAAATAGGTGGCGGGCAGAACGGATGTTTCCTGTGCCCCGGCCGTGAGATGTAATGACTGCATGAACCCCAGTATGGCCATCATCCCCCTGTCACCACTGGCAACGCCAGTGCACCATGCCCACAATTACTATCATCACCCCCACCCTTCACATCATGTTCACTCCCATCACGGTCACTACGGTCATCGTCACCGCCAGATGGCCACAGCTTCATCATCACCGGTCTCAGTGCCAACATCATTGCCATCATTCCTGCCACCATCACCACGGTCATGACATTGACATCTTCATCATCACCAATCTCATTGATGCCATCAAAACTGTTATCACCTCCATTCACGCCCTTACCAATGTCACCACCCCTATGATTGTCATCCCCCTTATCTTCATCACTGTCATAGTGCTGGGATCTTCATCATCCCCAGCCTCATCAACACCAACATCATCACCACAGTTACTGTCGTCACCATCAAACGGCTATCACCTCCTCTCTCATCACTGCTTATATCGCCATCATTATTCCCACCATCATCACCACCATGACTGTCATGGCATTGACATTTTTATCATCATCAGTCCCGTGCTCATCCCATCATTATGCCACAATATCAACATTATCATCAGTTCCACCTTCGTCCATGCCACGGCCATGATCGTCAAAAGTACGGTCTTGGTCTTTGCCTTCACAGCCATCACTGTGGTTACCTTTATCATTGTCTTCACAACTGATGTCAAAATCAAAATTGCCTCCTTCAAGATTGCTCTTATAATCCTCTGCAGAATCATAACTTGTGGTTGGCCCACTCTGCCTTGCCTCAGCCAAACCAGATACCTAGACCTTGGGCCCGGACAGGGGACCATGATCTAAGAGGTTGGGATGGGTGAGGGTATAGGAAGTAGTTGCCTGCCTGCTTCCAGGCAAATCTCAAAGGGGAAAATCCAAAAGGCAGATTCTTGGAGGTGGTAGTGGAGGGAATGAAACATACTGGTCATTTGACCAAGTTATCAGTCAGAGGGTCCTAGAGGCAAAAGGAAAAAGGTAGAGATAGGAGGCATAGGATGGAAACCAAGGACATCATAGGACAGTTAGAAGGTTCAAAACAGGGTTGGGAGACAGAGCCTGAGAGAAACTTACAGATTTTAGAGAGTGCCCACAGCTTGAGGGGAGTGGGAGCGACCGGGCCTGGACAGCTGTCACTCACTGTCACTATCTCTTTTGTGTGTATCCAGCCTCCATGGCTAAAAGTGACTCACATATGGTCTCTTCCTTTCGGAGCACCTGCTCTTAGGGGGAAGAAGTGGCCAGAAAGACACTTAACACACCCAGGATGCAGAGGAGCAGCATGAACGAGCAGTGAGTGGACAGGTCAGAGGGCATGGCCTCCTTGGGGCGAGGGCCCTAAAAAGAGAACTTCCCCAAATGGGACAATTTATCAACAAACCCAGTGTTCTATTTTGGAAGCATTTATTATCACTGGGGTTGATCCCACACAGAGGGCTTCTCCAGGCTTGTTGACTGTAGGGTGACAAGAGCAGGGATAGCAGCACTTCCCTGACTGTAGAAGCACTAGGGAGGTGCCACTGCCTCACTGTGCATCTTCTCCTGCACCTGACATCGGCCACGAGGAGTCCCGGTCACCCAGGAAATGCCCCCTGTGTTGGCCCTGCTGCTTCCCATCCACAGCTGCCCTGTCCCATGTTCCAGGTGGTTCCAGCAGACTCCTGACAATAACTAGCTCCCCCACCCCACCCCAGAGTGCTGTCTTTCACCCAGGCCACAAATGGCATTCTCTCGTGTTCTTGAGGGAAGTACAAAGTTCAGGGACAACACTGTCTATAATTCCTCCTTGTCCCAGGAGGCAGTAAGGGAGGAGAGGGTGGATGTCCATGAAGAAGAGAAAATACCCTGAAGACCACCCATTCTGATCAACTGAAAACCACCCTACATCTCTGGATCCATTGGTACCACTGTTGGCCCAAGCAAGAGGGCCCCTTTCCCTGGGTCTGTGCTTTATGGGGGCTGCCCTTGCCCTCCTCTGGTCAGTGTCTCCTCCCAGGACAAAGGGTCAGTGGGACTAAGGGCACTTGCCTAGCAGAAGCCTGTGCCCTGCCCTTCTAGTCTTTGCTCCAAGTATCTAGAACCCTGAATTTCCTACCCAGTTGGCCCTTAGCCCACCTCCAGGCCTGCATGAGCCTCTTCCCTGCACTGTTCTCCAGAGGGAGAGCCAGATTGCCAGGGTCACACTCCTAGACCCTTTCCAGGGGTGAGCAAAGGGCAGCTGTTTGCAGGGGTATGGACAGAGCTCGGACATAGGGGTGGGGTGTCCACATGGAGAATGCAGTCCTCCTTATGGTTCAGGGCAGAGCCAGCAGTAAAAGAGAGGGGGCAAGGTGGGAGCTGGTACCACCCCTCCCCACATCTCTGGGCATGGGAAGTCTCCATGCCCACCTGATTTTCCAGTTGTTAGGAAAGGTATTTGTCAGGGTAGGAGGAAAGGGTGCGTTTTATCTAACAGTTTGTTAGCTTGACTTACAACATTTAATAATGAGCCACATAGTATGTGGGCCTCCATTTATACTCTGGCCTGGGGCCCTGCAAATCTTAAGAGTGGCCTGAGCCCAGTAGGTCATTCCCAGAGGCCGTTGGGGCAGCCAGGACATGTCTGAATCCACTGCCCATCGATGCTTAGGGACTGTGTCTTGCCTCCTCCTACACGCACCATAGGTTCCGAAGTGTGCACGTAGCATCATTCTTGTGGCCGCAGGCTGGTGAGTTTGCTGACACTTTATTGATAGATCGGTTAGGGCTTCTCTGGCTGCAAGTGACAAAACACCAAAGCCTAAGTGACTTGAGCAAAAAGAGAACGTTTCGGTTCATGTACCCAAGGTCCAAGGTTGTATCTTATTTCTTCCTCTCCTTTGGCTCTGCTCACCTGCATAGTGACTCCGTTCCCAGACAAGCACTGCACTTTGTTTGTGAGCACAGGGTGGCTACCACACCTCCAGATCGTCTCTCCCCCAATGTCTCCTTGCAGAGGGAGAGTGCTACCTTCGCAGTGTGAGGTCTCGTGGCATCCCGTTGGCTCTGACTGGTCACATAACCACCCTCCAACCCAGTGACTGGGGCCTGACGGAGGCCAGTGTCTAAAGCACGTGCTCTAACCCTCATGGCCTGGGGGTGGAAAAGACAGGAGCCCGAAGGAAAATCAGAGACAGTTGCCAGAAGAAAGGGCGAGAGCTCCTGGGGAGCCTTTCCCTTGACTGCCCCTGAAAGGTCCCACTTTAAGGATCTTTCAGGCACAATCCCTACGTGAGCCTGTGGCTGTCCTTTGAGACCCAGCTGCTCTGGGGCTGCTCGTTCAAAGCTCTGCTGTGCCCACCGGTGTTTGCCCTCCCCAGAAGCATCTGCCCCTGCCTGAGCCCCTGGGCTTCCCGTAAGAATGCAAACTGTTTGAAGGCAGGGAGTCAATACTCATTCAGTCAGCAGAGGCTCAGACCAAGTACTGCTTTAAGCACGTTTAGGTACTATTCGGGTACTGTTTATTGTTGATACAGCCGTAAGCAACATAGATCAAGCCCTTGCTGCCTTGAACTTGCATTCTAGTGGGAGGAGAAAGTCAATAAATGAACAAGACTTATGGTGGTCATTTAATAAATAAAGAAAAAAAGCAAGGTTTGGGGTTTCGGGGGTCTGGCTGGAGAGGGATTCTTATTACGGGTTGGGCAAGGGATGCTTCTTTAGGAGGACCACGTGGATGCAGAGACCTGAGGAAAGGGAGGGAGGGAGTCATGCAGCTACCTGAGCAAAGAGCACATCAGCTAGAAGGGACAGCAAGTGCAAAGGCCCTGAGGCAGTAGTGTGCTTAGCGTGTTTGAGGAGCATCATGGAAACCAGTGGGGCTTGAGTGCTGTGAGGAAGGGAGAGAAGGATGGGAGATGAAGTCAGGAAAGTGGTGGTGGTGATGGAGACAGGAGTGGGACAGGGGTGGGGAGGAACTGCAGTGAGCAGGGCCTCATCTGTCACCGTAAGGGCTTTGGCTTTTAGACCGAGTAAAACTGGAGGCTTTGGAGCAAAGGAGTGATGTCACCAGCTGAGGTTGGGAGAGGTAAAAAGTAGGGAGGGTCCCTGAGGAAGCTGGGGCCGGCGAGGACGCTCCTGCAGTAATGCAAGCAGAGGAGGATGGTGGCAGTGGCGAGAAGTTCTGATTCTGGCACGTTCCAAAGGTGATGCAGCAGGATTGGGAAGTGGAATAGGAGAGAATGAGAGGAGTCGAGGGGAAGCCAGGGTTCGGGACCTAAGCACTGGGATGGTGGAGCTGGTTTACTGAGGAGGGGAGGCTGGAGGAGGAGAGGGGGTTGTGTTTGGGCCACGTTCGGTCTGAGATGCATCTTGGGCATGCATGTGGTGGTGTCCATCGAGAGGGGAGATGAGCACCTTGAACTTTGGGGAACAGGGTGGGGCTGGAGGTTTCACAGTCGCCACGGGGGAGGTGTTTCATCCTACCCGTTTCTCAGCCTTACCCCCCACCCCCACCGCCCAGAACAGGGTTGGGTCCAGAACTGGGGGTGCTCAGCACAGTGATGACAGCATCAAAAGTAATCCCCATCTCTGTTTCACGGGCAGTGCTGAGGGTCTTACACGCGTGATCTCGCTCAACCTTCCTATGATCCATGATGCGGGGCAATTGCAACCCTGGCTTCTAGAGGAGGAAGCCGAGATTCCGAAGGGGCCTCATTCGTCTGCCCTCAGAAGGTTCCAGTTGCTGTTTGCCCCCGCCTGCCTGACGAGGCCCAGCACTGACCCCCGCACCTCCCCCCCCCCCCCCCCCGTTGCAGCCTGTGACCAGCTGGCCCTGGGCGTGGTGGCGATCTTCGGGCCGTCACAGGGCTCCTGCACCAACGCCGTCCAGTCCATCTGCAATGCCCTGGAGGTGCCCCACATCCAGCTGCGCTGGAAACACCACCCACTGGACAACAAGGACACCTTCTATGTGAACCTCTACCCTGACTACGCCTCCCTCAGTCACGCCATCCTCGACCTGGTCCAGTACCTCAAGTGGCGATCGGCCACCGTGGTCTATGACGACAGTACAGGTGGGTAGCCAGGCCTGGCTGGGCTGAGGGCAGGGGGTGAGGGAGGCAGAGCCCCAGGATGTGCTCGCCCAACTCAGCTGCCCCTGGGGGAGGGTGCACACTCACACCTGAGACTAACAGGTCCCCCGGACCCTCGCCCCTGCACCCCCTCGCAGCCCTGGGCACGCCAGCCACTCACCTCTCGCTCAGCCTCAGGCCCACCTCACACCTTCCCCACACTCCCACCTCCACCCCCCCTGTAGCATGCTCATGTCTGCACTCAACAACCCCCCAGCCCCTGCACTCACCCCTGCACAGCTGTGCCCACACCTGCCCCACTCCCTCAGACTCACATTCCCGTCTGCAGCAAGCGTGGGCAGCTCTGAGCCGGCTACGGGCGCAGGCTCTGGACACATGGGCTGGGGACTGTGCTGGCTATGACACTTACTAGCTGAATAGCACAGAGCTGTTTCCCTTCTTCCTCTTTCTTTCAAAAGACTCAAGTCCCGAGACATTTCTTAGCCTGGCCTCTTAAGAGAGAGTGACCTTGGCAAGTCTCTTAACCCATCTGGCCCTTCTCTGCCCACGTGTCAAGTCAAGATCTATAGCATCCAGCCTGGAAAGAGCCCTTCAGCTCTCTGCAGCCTGTGATTCTATGTCAGCTCTTGATTACCTCCTAATGGGGAGTGGGAATCCTAGGGAGACAATCCCTCAGAAAAGTTGTCTATTTAACTTGAGATTCTACAAGCATCTATTGCGTTCCTGCTATGCCCACAGTACCAGACAGGAGATCGTGGAGGGCAGAGGCCCCCACCCCAGCTCAGTGCCCCCAGCATGAGGTGTCTGCCAGTGAGGGGCATGAGTACCCCGCTCCAGGTCGTGGTCAGCGTTTTGGCAGCCCTGTTAGATGATCTGTGTTAGGACACTGCTGGGGAGGACTGTGTGGTTTTGAGCCTGCTTCCTTGCCCAGACCATGAGCCTTGTGGGCCTCCAGGATTTAGAACAGGGCCTGGTACAACCTGGATGTTTTTAAATGCTTGTGGAACTGAATTGAATTGAACTGAATTAAAAATCGAGATGAAATAAATTGTAATTAAATATTGCAGGAAGAGAGTGCTGGGCACTGGTAAGGGAGTAGGAGGATGTGGCGATCCCCTCGTTTTTGGGGAGTGAATCCTAGCGTAGGGACGTGAGCAGGCACCCAGAGGTCACTGGTCATTCCAGGCCACCGGAGCTAAGGATCAAGTGCCGGGTACATACAGTCAGGGCCAAGGCACTCGGGAAGAGGAAGCCCTGCTGCGGGCTTGGCTAATCTGGGCTGACTGACAGAGGCAGAGAGACGTGAGCGGGGCCTCGAGGATGGACAGACAGAGCGAGCCTGAGGGCAGCACCGGCCGCGGGGACAGCGTGAGCAAAAACTGGGGAGGCGGGACTCGGTGTGGCGGCCTCCTCGAGAGCATGGCCTGGCGGGGGGAGAAGATTCAAGTTCGGAAGGTGGGAGGAAAAGGTCAGATGAACAGAGCGTATCAGGCTGCGTGAGGGCTCCGCTGTCTGGCTTCAGAGTTCACGCTTGATCTTGGAAGCAGCCAAGGCCCATGGAGTGTTGTTGAGCAAAGAAGTGGAATAATGAAAGCTGAGTTGCCGAAGGTGGTGGTGACGGCATCGCGCAGGGAGAGGAGACACTCGGGGGTGGCTGCCTTGATGCAGGCAGGGACAGAGGAGGCCGGGATTTGAGGGGCTGCCTGGAAGAGAACTCGGGGCCAGGATGGAAGGGAAGAACTGGATGTGAGAGTGTGTAGCTGGACACAGAACAGTCAGAAGAGACTCTGGTGCGTACCATGGCTCCGCGGTCCTGGGGCCTCCGGACTGGAGGGGGTCGGGGCAGAGGCTTTGCAGAGGGTGCATGAGGCTGCTCAGAGCTGATGCTACCTTCTGGAGCTCCCTGCTCTCCAGTGCCTTCGCCCTAATCATACGAGCGAATCCCTCGATTATTGGCTCGGGTGGCCTGGCATGCCCAGTCGCCTCTGGGTGGGCACGCACTCTCCCCCAGCATGATTAGCTTCTCAGAAGAGAGGGGATCCCATCTTCATTTCTTCACCCTTACCATGCCCAGAGCACCCTTTCTTCCAGGATTTAATTAGAGTTTAATTCAACTTGATTTTCAATTCGGCTCAATTACATTTATAAACACAGGGGAGTCCGGGATGGAGCCAGTTTGGTCAAGAACACACTGGGTAGTGGGAATTTAGGGCTGGAGTCAGCCAAATAGTGAGATGACTTTGATGAGGACTGGTGGGTGGTCAGAGGTGTACTCCCAGAAGCAGGCTAGTTCAAAGGGACAACTAGTGAGTCCTCAAACCTCCCCCCCCGAGTGGGAAGCACTTCATAGTGGGCTTCAGGGGCTGCGTGCATTTGGATGTGCTGGCTGGGGTCAAAGACAACCCAGTTCCCACTGACTCGAGCAATAGGCGCTTCGTTCTCTGATGGGCAAGAAGTCTGGAGAAGGGCCTTTCCAGGGCTGGCTTAGCAGCTCAACAGAGTCCGGGGCACTGGGTCAGTATCCCTGCAGTTCTCTTGGTTTTCTCTCTCCCGGTCAGAATAGAGCTGCTACAGCTCCGAGCAGCCCATCCTCACATGCCGACACCCTAGGAAATAGAAGGAAAGAGGCAGGAGCCAAAGAGATTTTTCCTGATGTGACTCCTGCCTCTTAGCAAGGAGGAAAACTTGTCTAGAAACCTTCCAGCAGACTGTCCTGGACAGCAAACTGAGTCCGTGCTTACTACCCCAAGCATAGTCAGATAGGAAAGGGAGCGCCCCTGACTGGCTCTTAACCAATCATCAGTCAGCTCTGGGGACTGGCACCAGGCCACCCGAACAAAATCATGGTTCTCTTAGCACATTAGAAGGGGGCACACCGGTCTCTGTAATACTTCTGCTTTGATGCTATGTCACCAGCTACCCCCCAAAACTTAGTGGCTTCAAATCCTACGCATATGTTTAGCTCACATGTCTGTGGGCTTCACTGATTGGCTGAGCTTGGCCAGGCGGTGGTTCTGGTCTCAGCTGGATCGCTCACTTGCCCGGGGGTCATTTGACGGTTGTGGAGATGACTGGCACCAGCAGGCTAGCCCAGGCACGTTGTCGTGACAATGGCAGAGGTGCAGAAGAAGAGACCCAGGGTGCACTTCCGTTTCCACTGTCTAATTGTGACACACCTGCTGATGCACTATTGGCCAACACAGGTTACGTGCTGGAGCCCAGTGTCCTGAATGGGGCAGGTCACCAGCCCACAGCTGGAGGTCACTGCGAAGTTACATAGCAAAGGGTGAGCTACGGGGTGGGGCGAAGAATTCAGGTCATCCCTGCAATCGACTGCAGAGAGAACTCTTTTTAAGTGTTCTTGGGATCCCACGGGCAAGGGTGACCGCGTGAGGACACGGAGGGGTCAGTGCCGTTGAGAGTTGTTACAGTGCCCTAGAATCAGGAGGGGCCACAGCCTCACGGAGAAGCACCAGGCTTAGTCACGAGACAGGAGCCCAAGGAAAGCATGGGCAAGAGCTTTTTTTGTACTAGAGCCTTCAGTTACTTTATGACCATAAAACGGCCCAGATGAGGGTAGGTGGGATTTGTTAGGTGGGGCCGTCCTCTGTGGGGCAGGAAGCAAATCACAGATGTTGGGGTTTGATTGGAGGTTTGGTTGGAGGGCTTATACTATGATTTTGTGTATCCACCAAAACACAGGAATAATAGGAACGTAAACAACTTGGGCCATTAGTTTGGCACATGATTTCAGGATGCCGGATCATCAGTTAGAGAATGTTGCAAAGGATTATATTGTAGGAACCAGCAGTGTTTGCCCTGTGACCTTTGACAAGTGGTCACCTTCGTAACCTAATCTGCACACAAAGGCCAACTCATGTCAAGAGTGAAAGGAAAGGTCTTAGAAAAAGCTGAGATGAAGAAAAGGGCCGCAGCCTAAGAGCCAGCAGGTTGGGTCTCGAATCTTGATCCCACAGCTAGCGTGCCGCCGAACCTTGAGGTGGTCACTTAACCTCTGTGGGCCTCAGTTTCTTTGTCCGTACATTGGAACAAAAGCCCCTAGTCTACATGCCTTCTAGGACAGGGAGATTTTAAATAGGGTGATGAATGCAGAAGTGCTTTGTAAGTGAAAAGCGTGATTCTAAAAACCATGATTCACTGCAGATATTTTGAGAGAGATTGATTAGGGAAGCAGCCAGGAAGGAAGGCTCATTTCGGGCAAGCCAAGAGCCTCGTCCTCTGCTGGGGTGGGCTGAGACGAGCCTCTGGTCTCCTTTGGGAGTACACTGATGAGGAGGAGGTCTGACATTTCCTGCTGGAAAATGTGGGTCACTGTGTATTACACGGGGCAATGCACTTGGCTGACAAGAAGACTCATAGCCTTGTGCTCCAGCGTGCAGGCTGTCCCCTGTCCTCACGTCCTGGATCCCAAAGCTCACGTGCCTGCTGATGCCACACAAGACTCTGAACACTGAGCAAGTGGGAGCAAAGTGAAGGCGGGGAGCCTCCCAGGCTAGCAAGTGTGAGTGGGCAGCATCACTCAGCCCAACTAAGAATTTCTGGGGTGAGTTGGGGATGGAGGGTAAGGCTGGTGTGTGTCCCAGAAGAAGTTGTGGCCCTTCTCTCCCCTGCGCTGGTCAGCTGATGGCCCCTTCCTCCTCCCTGTCAAGTCTGGTATGGGGAAGCACTGCGGCCCCTGTTAGATCCAGACCACTCCCGGACTCCAGAGCCCTTCGCCAGCCCATACACCTGGGTCTGAGACCTTCCAGGGGGCTGGGGGAGCCTGATGCCGGTGGCCATGGCAAAGCCTGTTTGGGAGCTCCTTGGGAGGCTTAGGTCACAGGGATATATCTCTGTCCTCCTCAGCAGAGGGGAATGATGTACACCAGATGGCTTTCCTGATGTCCAGCCCTCCAGAATGGGAAGGAGAAGTCGAACAGATCCAGGCATTTGTATCAGAAATGGCTTTGGAAGCCCAGAGGCTCTGTTGGAAGGCTCTCAAAGTAGGCGGTCTGTGTGGGGGGACTTTGCCCAGATAGGGGACACGACAGTAGTTGATTGCAAGCTTTGATCCAGAGCAAACTGCCTTAACCAAAAAAGGGGGGCGGGAGAGTGGATTTGATTGGCTGCCTTTACTGGCAAGTTTAAGAGTCATTTTAGCTTCAGGTACTGTTTGATCCAGAGGCTCAAATGGGTATCATTCGGACTGATTTGTCCTGACTTCTGCCGTGTTGGAACCCTTCTCCGGTTCTAGGTGGTGATACCTAGATTTGCTCCCTCCCTATTTGGAGGTAAGTGGAAAAGGGTGTATCTCTTGCCCGATGCTCTGGCACCATTTTTGGAAGTCGTCTTGTAGGACCAACTGGCGTCACCTACCCAGCTCTGAGCCTATCCCTATGCCTAGAGGAATGTGGGTGCTGATTGGCCAGGCTGGGGCCACATGCTGTGCCCCGAGAGCTGGGGATGGACCCCTCCCAAGTCACACGGTTTGAGTATGGGGGAGGAGTTTCTCCCCAAAGGAGAAGCAGAGTGCTCTTTGTGGGGCAATGGAGCATGGCTGAGTGGACAGTGTAGTGAGGACACAGACCCTGAGCCCTGAGTGTGGGTGGGCAGCCCAGTGGGACCCTGGCCCCTGCTGGCTCAGCCCCTCCCTGAGTGGGGAGGGGTATCGAGGGCAGCAAGCAGTCTTGCTCCCAGGCTAAACAGAGGGGACTCAGCAAGAATGGACCTTGAAATAGCGACGGAAATGAACTTAATTAGACCTAAGTAAGCCATTTGTCTCCAGGAAGTGACATTCAGTTTTCCCTGGAAGTCCCCAGATTAAGTGGTTTTGCAAAATGCCAAGGTGGAGGATGGATTTTTCAGTGTGGGGAGAAAAAAAAAAACAGTAAGTCATTTCAATTATGGAGATTTGTGTTGTGCATCACCTAAGTGCCAGGCCCCGTGCTAGGGGCTGTGGGGATCCAGCCCATGAGGTTAAGGAGCCCATGGCGGGACGAGGGAGTGAGACAAGGCCAGAGGAGGCTAGTGCTGAGGGAGGAGGCCACTAGGTGGGGGGAGGGGTGTCTTGTTTAGACAGAGCAGTAGGGGTAGGCTTCATGGAGGAGGTGGTTGCCCGGAGCCTGGAAAAATCGGTCAGGTTTACTGAGGCAACCTGCCCTTGGGTTGGAGGCACAGTTCCGCTTTGTCTTACACGGTCCAGCAGTTGGTACAGCTGAGCCTCGGAGCCTTCACTTGTACCCACATCCTGGAGGCAGGTTCCCTGCTTCCCAATGTCACAGGTGGGGTGATGAAGAGGGGTGCCCTCTGGTTTGGGCTCCATAAATCTGTAAATGCGTTCTAGTGTAGAGGGGAGTGCGTAGGTGTGTGGTCAGTGGGAATTTGCTGTCTGTGCCTACTGTTGAATCTGTATGTGTGTATATGTGTCTTTGCGTGCACAGGCCTTGATTTACATGTGGAACGAAGCCCAGGCTTGTGTCCGCATCAGCATGCATGCCCCTATAAATATGTGTTTGTATGGGCATACAAATCCATGGGTGGTTGCAGGTGTGTACAGCCTGGTGCACACAGCTGTACCCGAGCGTCCTGGCGCCCGTGTCTGGACCCACGTGGCTGTGTCCACGCACCTGCACAGAGTTCCATGGGCCATGCATCTGTGTCTGTGGGTGCACGCAGACCTGCGGCCACAGGCCTATGTGCACACCCGAGCCCGTGGAGGCCGACAGCTGTATTTACCTGTGTGCACACGTGTGTCTCTTGCTCCCCGGGGCCTCCCAGGGCTCATCCGACTGCAGGAGCTCATCATGGCCCCGTCGAGGTACAACATCCGCCTAAAGATCCGACAGCTCCCCCTTGACTCCGACGACTCACGCCCCCTGCTCAAAGAGATGAAGCGGGGCCGGGAATTCCGCATCATCTTCGACTGTAGCCACACCATGGCCGCCCAGATCCTCAAGCAGGTGCGTGAGTGGTGGCCAGCCCGGGGGATGGGGCGATGGAAGGGATGGGCGGGATCTGCCTGCCCTCTCCCCCTGCCCCGCACCCATGGCCAGGAGGTGGCCAGAGCTCAGGTGGAACCCAGCTCTGCTTCGGTCTGGCTGTTTCGGCAGCCCACAGAATGGAGCCAGTGTGGTCTTCAAGGTCTGAGCCAGCGCGAGGGTGGGGTGATGCCAGGACTGAGCGGAGCCTGGCGCCTGGAGGCTCTTGCATCAGTGCTGAGGCTGTGGGTGGGAGGCAGGGGCTGCCGAGAGGGGCCCGAAGCCGCACAGGACAGAACATTGCGGGAAGTGCTGGGAGGCCTCGGGGTGGCAGGAACAGGCTCAGGGGGGGCCTCACTGCCTCTCCGGTGATGCGTTCCCCATAGCCCGCAGCACTTGCTGTTACTCTCCGACTACTAGGAGGTTTATTGAAGTTCCCCACACCATCTGCTCGACTCTGCAGCGACTGTGGGGGAGGGAAATGGCTCTCGGTCCTGGATGGGCCTCTGTTCCTTTCCAAACACAGCCCAGTGTGGCATGCTAGGGACAAGAGCCGTCTCTGCCAGCTACCTAAGAAATAAACAGCAAAATCGCCCACAACCTCCGTGGAGGGTGCCACAGCTGAAACCCAAACCATTCACATTTGAGCCAGTGCTTTGTGTAAAAGGCAATTATATGGTCCCAGAAAGCATCCCTGGTGATTGAACGAGGCCTTCTGTGGAGCTCTAAGTCATGGCCTTGCGAGATGCAGGTGGTGGGGAGGAGACACAGGCAGTGCAGGGGGCTAGATGCCGAGCCGGGATAGGAGTGTTCAAGTCCCGGGGGGGCTAGGGAGTTCCCAAGTCCCACCCTCCAGTCAGGCCCTGCAAGGGGTGCCCAGGCGGCCTGGGAGCCAGTGTCTTTCCCCAGGCTCCCTCATCCCCAGGAGGTTAAAGAGCTCGCTTGGGGTTTGACTCTCGCTTCTGCCCTTGGGTGTTGTGCGCCCAAGATCAAGGAGCCCCCGTGTCATCCCCTCCTCTGTAGCTGCAGCCAGTGATCCCTACCTTAGCCGGTGGCAGAGGATTCTGTTGAGATGAAGCAAGGAGAGAGTGTAGCCCAGTGTCCGGCACTGGGTGTGGGGCATCTGCGGTGTCACTGTGGAGGAGACTTACGCTCCCCAGAGACCCCTCACCCCTCCTCCCTCGGCGACGGCCAGCGCTTAGTGCTTCCCTTTTCTTCCTGGCACGGGTAACAGAGGAACAGAGACGGCCACAACCCTGGCTGGTCACACTGAGGAGTGACCGTGTGCCAGGTACCTGAAACCCCTCACGTAGCGCCCCCCCAGGCAGGTGGCAATGGCTATCATGCCCAGTTTACAGGTGAGGAAACTGAGGCTCACAGGGAAAGGAAGGGGCCCGAGGTCATCCAGCCAGAAAGAGAGAATTTACTCCCACATCTGCCTGACTTGAAAACATACAGACTTAAAGCTGGAGACGGTATGCTCCACTGAACACCGAACTCCGGAAGGGTGATCGCGGCTGCTGACGGAGGCCTGGTCTGAGCCTCGAACTTGCTGACGTGGGCTGTGAATCTCTAAGAGGGCGAGAGAATGAACGGCGCTTTCCAAGTGTACCTGACCCTGGGATATTCTTCCTCCAGAGCACTTAGGGGCCCCGGCATTCTGAAGAACTCTGTAGAAAGTGCATTGGTCGTTAATATTATAGATTATAGGTTTCTAATAAAATACGTAAATGAAGGTAATGCAGGCTTCGTGATGATACACAGCATAATGTATCATCATAGTAATTACATAGTAATAACCGCATAGCAGCCTAGCGGCCTGCCTGGTGGTCGGCTGGACCAGGGAAGCTGGGATGTCTCCACCCTACAGGGAGGTTCAGCCCGAGCGAAGCCTCTCCTCCTCGGGCCTGGCTGGGCTGGGGAGGGCTGGGCTTCCGCACACCTCTCTCTGGAGCCAGGACAGAAGGTAGTCTGGGGCTAACTCCAACAGCATTTCTCTAAGTGTGGCAGGCCCGGAGATGCTCATGGAAAAGCCAGACGACTGGGCCCAGCCTGGGCCTGCGGAATTTGGAATCTTTGCATGCAGAGTATGGCCCAAGATTCTGCATTTTTTTTGAAGATTTTATTTATTTATTTATTTGAGAGAGAGAGAGAGATTACAGCAGGGGGAGGGGCAGAGGGAGAGGGACAAGCAGACTCTGCTGAGTGGGGACCCCAATGCGGGGACTCGATCCCAGGACCCCAGGATCCCGATCTGAGCCAAAGGCAGGTGCCTAACTGACTGAGCCACCCAGGCGCCCCAAGATTCTGCATTTGAATCTGTCCCGGGTGACTTGGCTACACACTCCAGTGCAAAACACACTGCTGTCTGCTAGCCAGTCATTGTTATTTCGGGGAGGTGGTCTCGAGGACATCCCAACTCCAAGTGGCCCACCTCTTCCGAACCCCTGCCAGTCTGGTCCTCCCCGCTGGGGTGCAGATGGGGAGGGGGCTTCTCGGGTACCCCCTGCGGACTGCTGATGCTCTGCTCTCCCGCAGGCCATGGCCATGGGCATGATGACCGAATACTACCACTTCATCTTCACCACGCTGGTAACGTACCTCTGGGTCCTGGCACAGATCAGGGTGGGGTCCCCTCAGAACAAGGTCAGCCAGGTGGGGACCATTGTGGCAGCTAGAGGAGACTCAGGTTGGCCTTGCTTCCTAAGGCTCTAGGTATGGCCCCAGGCAAGGGCCCAGAGACATCTTCGTGGCCTGCCCACGTTGAGAAATGCCCTCGAGTTGTGACTCAGGGCAGTGAGTCTAGACCTGCCTGTGTTGACACAAGCCCCTCTGATGACTAGCCAGTCATTAACCTCCCTGCCTCAGTCTCTTCGTCTGCAAAATGGGTGCGATAATAGCTTCTACCTCCTAGAATTATGAGCTCAGAAAGTAAAATGCTGAGAGCAGTGCCTGATTGTGTGAAGAACGATGCAAGTATTAGCTGCTCTTATTAAGATGATCCTCGGCTCCCAGCTCACACGCTTCCCCATGGATGTCTCAGTCCTCACGCAACAATAGGAAATGCTGCTTTGGATTCCTGCAGCATCCGTGCTGAAGTCTGCCCACTCACTGTCAGCTGGGCCAGCCCACCTGCGGGCTCCAGATGGGTCCTGTCCAAACTCAGAGAACATTTAGGGCCATTTAAACCCATTAGGATAATTAGTTGTGGCCTGAAATCAGCAGAATAAAGAGATCCCTGTGCCAAAGGGGCACCCACACACAGCCACCCTGCCCTGGAGCAGACATTCTAGCACTTCCCTGGGGCCCTGGGTGGACTCTTCCACCCAGCCCAGTTCTGGGGCACTGGCTTCCTGGCGCTGAAACAGGCTCCTGCCCTCCTCATCAGCCTTGCTCCAGCCCAACAAGCTTCTGCGTTCCCTCATCCATCTGGCACCCAGGGGTCCGGTGAGGGTCTCATGATGACTGGCACAGAGGCCCCGCCCTCGAGGAGCTCCCGCCCTGTGTGGTCCGCACCTCCAGGTCTAGCTCCTTCGCAGGTGTATGCCATCCCAGGCCCGGACACGTGGTCGTGGCACACAGTGGAAGGAGACATCCGGTGTGGAGGGGTTGGTGGAAGGTAATTTGAGGCAGGAAGGGAGATGCTTAAACAGGGCCTTGAAGCATCAGTAGGAGTTCACCAAGGAGAGAGAGGAAGAATATTCTGCACAGATGGAACAGCATAACCAAAGGCCAAGATGCAGGTTAGCTCTTCACTGGAGAGCTGGGGCTGGCTCAATCTGACTGATTGCTAGAGCCCATTGTAGTCATCTGCTCCCAAATCCACGTTCAGTGGTAGTGCAGATGTAGCTTGGAGTTGGCCGTGGGGGAAGGAATATTCATACCACAGAAGTTGGAAAATACTACAAATTAGGGTTTGTAACCTCCCCTCCACTGAGAGCTGGTTACTAAGCATTTACCAGCACACTACTGTTTCTTCCCCACCCACTGTATTTTCTGCCCTTGGCAGAGCTCTGGGCTCCCCCTGCACATGCTCCTGCTCCAGGGCTCAGATCTGGGCATCTGCCGGGAGTCATGTTGGGAGAAAGGGATTCTGGAAGCTGGTGACTGAGATCAGGCACCTTCTTCCCCTAGTCCCTTCTGGATTTCTACACACCCAAGCTGACTTTTCCATGTCGTGTTATATCTTGGAAAGTCATTGGAGGCTGGAGGATGAGGCTACCAGATCTCCCACATTCCACCTCTGTTTGGAGCTGGGAGCAGGGCAGAGGAGGAAGGCCGGGAAGGTGCGGTGGGGCACGTTCATGGGCCCAGGGCCCTGTCCCTGGCATGGCAGCCCTACCCATCCCATCCCGGGCATCTAGGGTGCTGAGACCGACTTCTGGGCCCTTAGCCCTGTGGCCTGGCTCGACCTTTCAGGCAAAGCTCTAGAGAAGGCACCTCCCTAGTGACCCCATGTTGTTCTCACTGATGCCATTGCCTTCCTGGGGTCAAGGTTAGAGGTCTTGGAGGGAAGCTCAGGGCAGGATGTGTTGTGGGTTGTCCTGCAGCCCTAGACAGGATCCGCTTCTCTTACTTTTTCATTTCCTTATTCAGGCATCCATTTATTCACTTCTGGCAGCCACGTACAGATGGTCTCAAGGCCCCAGGTTCTGAGCTAGGTGCTTGGGTGGGAGACAGTATGCAGAGTTGGAACCACACAAAGCTCACCAGTTGGCAGGCTTCCTTCATGCACATAAGGATCAAGGACTGTGCCCGATTCAACTGCCCCTGTCTGGTGCCCACAGAGTGCCTGGCATGCAGTAGGTGCTCATTAATGCTTGGATGAGCGAATGACTACCATACAAAGTAGAAGGTAATCCGTGAAGTTATCAACACCCTTGTCATGGCAACAGTTAAGACCCGGGGACTCTGGTGCCCGCCTGCCTGAGTTAGAGTCAAGATCCTTCCACTTGCCTGGGCAAGTTACTTCAACCTCTCTGGACCACCTTTTCCCACCTACAAAATGGCCACAGTAACAGCGCTACCTCATAGCAGTGTTAGGCTGAGTGTGCACTATGTCGAGTGCCTGATGTTTATTGAAGCAGCAGGTAAGAGTTCAGTGGATGAAGTACCTCCTGCTTACGTCTTCTGTGTATTCAGCATACGTCATCTCATCCACAAATTCAGAACGCCTCTCCAAGGGAGGTATGATCTCCCAACTTTACAGGAAAGTAGAAACTGAGGCTCGAGAGGTCACCCAGCAAGAAAGGGGCAGAAGGAGGGTTTTTACCAGCTGGAAGCTGTCCAGCTCCGGAGGCCTCTGCTAGGAGCTGTCACACTGAAAGCCCGCACGAGGCAGTGGCTGGCCTCCTCTGGCTGCACACGGCAGCAGTGGTCCAGATGCAGTGATTGACATGAATCGGGGGCATGGAGCCTCCACAAATCTCAGCGGGGCCCACTCTTCACGGGTTCCAAAGCCCTTTCTCCACATCGCTGCTGTACCTCTTCACAGGGCAGGGGTTTTGCTCCCCGTTGATGGATGGGCAAACCTGGGACCAGAGAGGTTGAGTGACTTGCCCAGAGGCTCCCAGCAGATCGGGGTAGAGGCCTTGGCTCCTGACTGCCAGTCTTGTGCATGGCTGTCCCAGCCCCCTGCCCCTCCTCCTCCCCGTGCCTCTCTGAGGGTCAGGGAGAGTAGATCTGCCCAGGGAGGCACAACCCTTACACACGAACAGCTCTGCAGTCCGCAAGGGAGTAGGTGTGTCGGCATGTGTCGGCGGGGAAGGGGTCTACCAGCATCTCTCCCAGCTGCTGCCTCGCCGCCCGCCTGCCTGCCAGGGCAGCAGCTGCGTGTCCCTTGGGCACTCCACTCCGGCCCATGTCCCCCTTCGGCCTTGGCTCCCACTCCGCGATCCTCCTTCCAGCCCCCGTGGGCTTCAGAGTCTACCTCATGATCCTGCCTCTTCACGCCCGTTGGTCAGTCAAGGCTGTATTTTTGGGAGGCCGGTGGCATCTGGCATTTATTTGCTTCCCTTTCAGAAATCCACGTCACCAATGCGTCGCTGCTAAAAAATTCTCCGAACTTGCTGCTTTCATGCAGTAGACATTTTAATTACCCCAGCGGCCATAATCCGCTCCAGCCAGCTTCGAGCCCTTCCTAGATAACCCGCGTTACTCAGCCCCAGCTGAGCCCCTGGTGCATGTCATGTGTAGGTAAAAGCCTGGAGGTGAAAAAAGAATTATAATAAATTAATAGATAAGCAATCACAATTAATGCCACTTCCCAGCAATAACAGTTATATCATGGGAAAGATATTTTCATCTGTCATTCCTTAAGGCAATGTTTTCTGAGCTTCGGCTTCTACCCAGTCAGACCCATGGGGTGCTAATGAATTAGTCTATTATGTTATGCTGAATGTTTCTAAAAGGTCCCTCGTCAATACTGAATTCAGTGTGTCAACATTTGGCATCAAGAACAGCAACTTTTTGCCAAGCGGCAAGGTTGCCCATGGCTCACTGTGTACGGCGATTGGGGTCTCCGCTCAGGGCAGCGCGGACACAGAAGTGGAGCTGGACAAAGAGCCCTCTTTAGCAGCTCCTGTCATCCCTGCCCTCGTGTCACGGGGGTGGGGACGCTTGGTGCCGCAAGCCCTACAACACTTTGCACTCCAGGCCCGGTGTGACAGGGAGGGAGGTGACCCCAGCAGTGACACCCCATCATCCCCCCCCAGGTTGGAATGGCTGCGGCCACCCCGTGAGTGTCAGCAGAACACATGCCACGTCCAGAGACCGGAAGGGCTGATGTCACCAGCCCCCAAGCCTCCCACCAGGGCCAGGGATGCCACCCTTCTCACTGAGTCCGGGTGGCCTCTGGTCCTAGAGGAGGGTGAACCGAGTCACGGACGCCCTGGGCAGGCTGATGCTTTGGCATCTTTCAGGCCTTAGGTAGTAGGTCAGCACTGCATTGGAGAGGAGGCTGGGCCCCGTGCTGGGTTGGAGTGAGGAGGGTGTTCCCTGGGGGCAGAGGTCAACTTCTCTTCCTTGGCCCTGGCAGTGAGCTCTGGCCCCAAATTCACATTCTCCATCTTGCAAAACAAAACTGCTCCACCTCCCCTTACCTGCCTTCTCCAAAGGCAATTTGGGGGAAGATCTCTTGATACTAAAGCAGGCCCCTTAAGGGTCTCACTCTCCCACCCCCCAAGGCAATTTACCAAACCCTTCCTAGCCTCCAGCTTCATTGAGAGCTCCCCCTGAGAGGAGGATGTGAAACACTAGTCTCCCATCCCAGGCCCTTCCCAGCGCTGTTTAGGTGCCCCAGAGAACTACTCGGCTGGCTGACCCTTCTTTCCACTTTGGGTGACAGGGGTGTTTGGCTCTGGGGTTCAGGAGACAGACACAGATACTAACAGTTGTTATCAGTGGGGGTGAAAGGCAAGAGGTCCCAGGATGAAAGCAGAAGCCCCCTCGACCCACCCTGTGGTGCATGTGTAAAGGAGTAGTCAGGAGAGGCTTCCTGGAAGAGGTGCCACTTGAATTGATTTGAATCTCAGAGAATAGCCCACCTAAGAGGGTTGAGAAGAGAGACAGCCCAACCAGAGGCTAGAAGATGCACAAATGCCGGCATAGCGATGAGAAGCTGCGTGATGGGGGCAGGGGCAGGCGTCAGCGAGGAAGGGAGAAGGGGAAAGTGGTTTGGTTCCTGAGACAAACATGGGAAGGGGTGGGAAGAAAAGTGGGGCAGGAGGGCGGTGGAGAGCTTTGTAAACTAAACTAAGGAACTTGGACTTCATTCTGAGAAGGTAGTAAGGATTTATAAACACAGGGTTGGATTGATCCTTCCGAGAAACCCCTCTGAACGCTGTGTGGACTGCAGGCTGGTCACGGGACAGGGGGCGCTTGGGAGCTGGACTGCCCGGGTTGGACTCTGTTGCTCCACAGGTTAGCCGTGAAGCCTGACCTCTCTGTGATTCGGTTCCTTCCTCCGAAATGGGGTCAAAGTAACACCCTCCTGGGATAAGGTGGAAATGAGAATTCAGTGAGTTAATGCACAAAAGGAACTTAGAACGTGGCCTGCTGTTCCGAGGTTCGCAGGAGCTCATAGCTGTTAGCTCGTCGTGATTGTTCCTCTATTGCCAAGACGGGTAAGGCAGGAAGGACCCAACCCCTCTCTGCTCCTCTCCTCTGACAACCGGGCATGTCCCTGGGGCCGTATCCCATGACTGTCACAACCTGCTGCCAGAGAATATTGGTCAAACACTTAACTACGTCTACCATGCACCAGATGTGCTCTGCGCACATCCATGAACCCACTTCTTCCTCATGACAACCCCACCTGCTAGGTCCTGTTATCATCGCCTACATGTGGCAGCTGAACCCACCTGAGGTGAGGAGGGTAGATGCACCTGGAACCCAGATGGCCTGGCCTCGCAGTCTGTGCCCCCGAGCTTTGCCGGGGCTGTCTCCGTGCGCCGCGCTCAGGAAGGCGCCGTGGGGAGAGAGGCCTTCTTCTGGGCACGCCTTCCCCACGCCCCTCCGCTCCTCTGATTCCACACGTGTCCCCAGCTCAGCCCTGTCAGGAGTCATGACTTAGATGAGGGGCTTCTCAAATCCCAGAGTTGCCAGGCCGCACCCCAGACTCTCCATGGCCTATACTTCCCAAAACAGCTCCAAAGACAGTTCGGGTGCATATCGCGTGTTTGGCAACCACGGGGGCATAAAGCACAGGCGTTTCTCGAATAAGACAGACGGTGGTGTACCACCCGCTGTCCAAGTGTGTGGGAGGGAAACCCTGGATTTGGAGTGCTTCTAATTTCCATGGTGAAAATACTCCCCCCACAGCTGGTATCAGGTGACCAGTGTGAGGTGACTGGAAGCAGGAAGAAGTGCTAACAGTTAGCTCCCACAGGCCAGTGCGAGCCAGCTCCAACACCCCACCAAAACAGACCTGAGTACAAATTATGCTCTGCCTTTTTTGAGCTTTATGACCTCAGGCAGGTCACCTCATGCCCCTGACCCTGTTTCCTCATCTGTAGAAGGAACACACTGTTAAACAGCTACTCTGCAGGGGTGTCAGGATGGGGTGGTATCCTCCATGTGTGGGGCTGAGGGCAGTACCCACCCTCCACTCCCCACTGAGACTGGGGCAGGCACCCTCTGGCCCACTCGGTGAGACCCCTTCATCTGCTGACGGCCCCACCTCCTGCTCCCACCCGGCCCCTTCCCCATCCCAAGTCCTGGCCTAGAATCAGCACCCTAGTTGTTTGGGCAAAGCTAGGACTAAATTTTCTTACCCGGGGTTCAAGTCTGCTCCAGATCTCTCCCCAACATCCTATGCCCTAAACTTTCAAAGAGGAAGCCAACACCACGCATTCCAGAAGGAGCCCATTTTGAGGGTGCAGCAGGAGCAGGAAGAATTTAGCATCAGTCGGGAATATGTGAGAGACCAAAGGAAGCCAGCACCATGCGGAAGGGCTGCTCGGTGAGCTCATCATTCCTCGAGCTGCCGTCGAGTTCATGGAAGCCTGGACTGTGATGGGCTGGGTTTTAGTCCCAGTGACTGCAGCCATGCAGAGAACAGTACAGCCCATGGGCTGTCTTGCCTCTCTCCCAGCACAGGATGGAGCATATGAGTTGAGGGACCCTCGAAAGAGGAGGGACCGGAGGCTGGGACAGAAGATAGCTTGATGAGAGCAGAGCATAGAAAAGAATAGACAGTTGACCAGGAGGGCCTTAGGACTCAGTTTCTCAAACCACTAGTAGGAAGGGTCTGCTCCTCCTAGGCTACCACCCCCTACCTCCTCGACGCTGCCACTTCTTCCTCGTTTAGCACCTGGCTTCTCCCTCCATGCACACGCACCCTGCCTTCTCGCCCCACCGGCTCCCCTTGCCCCAGAGCTGGAGCTGCAGAGGGCCTGAAGCTCATCTGCCCCACACGTTAAGGCCAGTCTTCCTGGTCCTTAGGCCGGGGCCTACTCCTTACACCAGACTGGATGCCACCTGGCCATGGACAGATGGGCTGACTGCTGGTCTGTTGCTCCTAGGACACAGCGGGTGCAGAGGCCTGGCTGAGGATGTCGGAGGTGAGGGGAGAGAAGAAGGCAGTGGTATTCCTTGAGTCCCAAGCAGAAAGACTATTGTTTTTATTGAATTATAATTGACCTACAGTATTATGTTGATTTCAGGGGTACAAGATAGCCAATCAGTATTTTTATACATTACAAAATGACCCCCACAAAAGCTTTGGTTATCATCTGTCACCATACAAAGGGATTACCAAGTTGTTGACTGCGTTCCCTATGCTCATTACGTCCCCATGACTTACTTATTTTATAACTGGAAGTTTGTACCTCTTAATCCCCTTCACCTACCTTGCCCATCCCCTCACCCCTCTCCCTTCTGGCATCCACCAGTTCTCTGTATTTATGAGTTTGTTTTGTTTTTTTAGATTCTGTGTATAAGTGAAATCCTACGGTATTTGTCTTTCTCTGTCTGACTTCACTTAGCATAATGTCTTCTGGGTCTATCCACAGTGTTACAAAATGTCAGGATGTCCTTCTCTCTTATGGCTGAGTTACATTCCTCTGTATGTACACACCACATCTTCTTTATCCGTTCATCTAGCGACGGGCACTTGGGCTGCTTCCATATCTTGGCTATTGTAAACAATGCTGTGGTGAACATAGGAGTGCACCTATGTTTTCAAGGTAGTTTTTCTGTTGTCTTCAAATAAATACCCAAAAGTGGAATTGTGAGATCATAGGGTAGTTCTATTTTTAATTCTTTGAGGAGTCTCCGTACCGTCTTCCAGAGCGGCTACACCAGTTTGCATTCCCACCACCGGCACGCAAGGGTTCCTTCTCCACATCCTCGCCAACACTTGTGGATGTCTCTTTGATTTTAGCCATTCTGACAGGTGGGAGGTGATTGCTTCTTGTGGTTTTGATTGGCATTTCCCTAATGATGAGGGACGCTGAGCTTTTCAAGTACTTCTCCCTTTCAGCCTATTCATTTTGTTGATGGTTTCCTTCACTGTGCAAAAGCTAGAAAAAAATATTTTAAAATAGCCTTTTTGGGGGTGAGAGGTACAACAACTCCCTTCAGCTTCCCTTGGAGATGCCCAGGCCCAGTGCTCTTTGTCCTCCCGAAGTGGGCACCCCCGTCGTTGGAAATGACCATCATGACCATTATCACGATCATCTGATGTTCTGGGCCAGGCCTTTCATGTGATCTGCTGCACCAGTCCTATAAAGGAGGCAAGAGCCCCATTCTGTAGACGAAGAATCCAGCTGAGCCACATGCAGGGGGTCCAGCAGCGAGTCCATGAGGTCAGCCACCAGGCAGAAGGCATTCCAGCTGATCCCCCCTCCGGTGCTCCTGCGGGTACTCCACCGCCGCCGCCGAGCCTCACCTCGTGCAGGGCAGGGCTCTGCAGGGAGTTGCCGCCTTGGGCTCCCGGTGCTCCAAGAAGGGCGTGTGGGGCAGTGGTGGCCCAGGTGAGGGGTGGCTGGGGTTTACAGCAGGCCACACCTTTATTTACTTGAGCCTCTTTCTGTCAAGGATCTGTATGCGTTAGACCTGGAGCCCTACCGCTACTCAGGGGTGAACCTGACGGGGTTCCGGATCCTCAACGTGGACAACCCGCATGTGTCAGCCATCGTAGAGAAGTGGTCCATGGAGCGGCTGCAGGCGGCTCCCCGGGCAGAGTCCGGCCTGTTGGATGGCGTGATGATGGTATCCCAGCCAGGCGGGCCAAATCCAGGGGCACCCCTTCCTCGGCAGCCCTCCCCGTTCCCTCCTCTGTCCTCTCTCCCCTACTTCCTCCCTATCTCTTTCTTCCCTCCCACCACTTCCCTTCCTAAGACCTGCTCTGGATCAGCCAGACCTTAGGCTGGGCCCTGGGAACACAAGGAATCAGACACAGCCGCCCCCAACCCCAAGGGTGGTAGGGGAGGCTTGTAAACAGGTTGTTACAGGGTCTGGGGGTAAGGACCCATGTGTCCTGGGCACAGAGGACTTTGAGCTCTAACCAGCTGGAGCCTAGGGAGGCAGAAAAGGAGAAGGTGTGGACAGGGCCTAGGAGAACAGGAGTGATGGGATGAGAAAGGAGGGCTTAGAATGAGAAGGTCTGAACTGCAGAGAGGGTGGGAGTTGGGTGTCTGCCGAACAGCAGGGGCACCCAAGCCCGGCCTTCACGGAGGGCATGGACAGGGTCACCCTGGGCCTTTCCCTTGTCAGGACCCCATATGCCTGGTGGGGGAGGGGCAGAGCAACTTGGGCCAAGGACCCTCAGGGCTGGGGAGCTGCTCTAAGGCCCTGTGCCCTCCCCTCCAGACTGACGCGGCCTTGCTGTACGACGCCGTCCACATCGTGTCCGTGTGCTACCAGAGGGCCCCGCAGATGACCGTGAATTCCCTGCAGTGCCATCGGCACAAGGCTTGGCGCTTTGGCGGCCGCTTCATGAACTTCATCAAGGAGGTGAGTGCTCCCCCATCATCCCCCCCAGGACCTCCTCCCTGGGGGTCTTCGGTGCTGCAGAGCAAAGGCGCGGGTGTGGGAGGCAGGCAGGATTGATTTCTAGCCCGCTCGCATCTGGGCACATGGGTTCACATCTCCGAGCCTCCGTTTCCTTGGGTGAAGATGGGCTGGACGGGACCCATCTCACAGGGTGATTGAGAGGACTATTGCCCTGGAGCCTAGGAGGTTCTCCGTGGGCGGTCCACGTTGTCAGCAGGACCTGCATGGGCTTTCCAGTGCGGCAGATGAGGGTCTCTGCCCCGGCTGTGTGACCTTGGGCAAGCTGGAGAACCTTGCTGAGCCTCGGCTGCCTCATCTGCAAAATGGGGTCTGAAGCATGCCCCCTCAGAGGGATGCCAGGCAGCTGAGACGAAACCCCTGGGTGGAAAGGGCTCAGGGCAGTGGGCGGGGCAGTGGAGGCTGGCCGGATAATCAGCCCTACGAACGCCTCTTCATGTTCCGGGTCCTCCGGGCCCCGGCTCTGCTGGCCCCGAGGTGGTTGTGAAGTTCCATCCGTGGGGCTGATTCAGAGGAACCAGGAGCAGAACTCTGTCCTGCTGCAAGACGGCCGTTGACACTCACAGTGCCAACCGATAATTCTGAAGGACTCTCCATCATCCTTGTCCTTGTAAGCTGTGGACGGCTCTTCACCGTTCCCATTTTACAGGTTGAGGAAGCTAAGGCCAAGGCCAAGCATCCTGGCGGCATCGCAATGAGTTATGCAACTTTGGGTGAGAGGATTAACATTTTGATTCTCAGTTTCCTTGACTGTAAAATGGGCGTAAAGAGTACTTGCCTCGGTGTTGTTGAGAAGACGGTGTGCAAACTATCCACGGAGCATCTCGCCCAGGACGTGGGCAGAGTCAAATCCCAGGAAATGGTGGATGAAGAAGGCTCGGGGAGAAGATCGGGGCAGGGTTATCCTGGGTTGGAGGGAGAGACCATGTCCAGGCGACTCCAGGTGCCGTCGAGAGAAGCCCTCGAGGAGGGTTGTAGAACGATCTCTCTGTGGCAACCACACTGGACCAGGGTGAGGCAGGCTACTTTGAGCGTTCATTCAGTTATTCAGCAGCTAGTTGTTGTGGTCCTGCTGGGTGCCAGACCCTGGGATCCAGTGGGGCTGAGACGGACGAGCCCCTGCATTCACCAAGCTCACAGCCCAGGGAGGGAGCGGACATGAATCAAGTCCTGGCATTCAGGGATGTAATCCCACGTGCAAAGGAAGGCAGCTCCAAAGGGGTATATAGCAAAGAGACCCACCACCTTACACACAGCAGACAGGGTGCCTTTCCCCAAGGGCTGCCATCCCCCCTTGCTGCTTGGGAAGGGCGCTAAAAGGAATGGGGATGGGACATGGGCTGTAGAGTTTGACGCTCATGCCCGTGGAGCTCGTCTCTGCCTCCCCCAGCTGTGCGGCTTCACACGTGTTCCTAGATGGCCACGAGCATCCATTTCCTCACCTGGCAAACACGCTCTCACCATCGTGGTGAGGGAGGCATGAAGTCCTTGGCACCAGCTCCCCTCACGCCCAGAAGGGTCTCCATCCGGTATCGGTGGTATTGGCATAAGAGGACCATGATGGTCCCTTCTCATCCAGCCCCTCAAAACTGCAGAAGAAGGCTGATTGTCCAGTGCCCTGAGCAGGCCTGGTTAGCCTGGGAGATCACCCGCTTGTTTCCCGGGAGCGCTGAGGCCTGACTCCTAGCCCCGGCTGCCTCCTTCCTGGGCAGACCTCTGACGGAGGGGCCAGAGGCCCTTCTGAGGGGGTCGGTGACCCAAGCCACAACCCTGGGCCCCTTAGGAGCCACATAAAAATGCCTTTGAAGCTTCACCCACTTTTTAGCTGTGTGACCTTCGACAAGCTGCTGAACCTCTCTGTGCCTCCAGTCTGCCTCTGTACTCTGGAGATTTTCCTAGGGTTGTTGCAGGATGAAGCGAGTTAGGGTGTGTGTGGAGCACTTAGGCCAGAGCCTAGCACAGAGCCAACGCCCAACAGAGGGGCTACCCTTATGTTGTCTTTGTCGTCACGACTGCCATCACTGTGGCTTCTTGTTCCCTGGTGGGTTTCCAGCTAACGAGGGTCCCTGGGCCACATAGCTTTGGGGACCCTCACCCTGCTCACCCCTGACCCCTTGGAATTTTTGAGGCTCAGTCTGCAGCCCTGAGGGGAGCAGGTTCGTCACTGCCCACACTAGAGGAAGGGGCCCCCTTCTCCCTCCCGGGGCTGACCGGCCCGCTTTGGTGTACCTCCTGTTTCCCGGCCGCCGGCCCAGTGAGTGGCCCTCAACACTCATGCTCCTTACAGAGCCCCTTCAGGGACATCTCTGTGACACCTGCACCTTAGGGCAGTGGACATGGAGGCCTAGTGCAGCCACGTGGCTTGCCTGCAGTGCCGCAGCTGCCTGAGCCTGGGCCCCGAGTGCCCTGCTTGAGCCCAGCATACCGTCTTCCCTCAGACCATTTCCAAGTTGCTCGTCTCCCCCATCTGACTGCGTGACAGTAAATCATTTAAAGACTTGGCATTTCCGAGAGGAGCTGGAAAATACCAGGCCGGAGTTCAGAGCGTGTGAAGCATCTTTCATTTAGCGAGTCTGGAGCGGTGGCTGGAAGGGGCGGGCAGGCCGGGAAATGTCACGGGGAGGGGCTGTCCCCGGCTCCCTGCCCTGCCCTGGCCCTACCCCCCCACCCGGGGCCCACAGGCAGTCCAGGCCCCTGCTGGCATTTCCTTCCTCTGTAGCTGACAAGGGGGAAGGCTTGGCTCCGAATGCAGGTTTGAAGGCACCTGCTGTGATTTCCCCTGGGGGCCAGGAGAGAGCCTGAGGGTACAGAGGAGGGGGAGCCAGCCAGAGCTGAGCTTCTCTGTGAAGCCGTAAACAGTGGTCTTCACCTTCTCTGGTCTTTTCATCTCTGTCCCCAAACCGTGTTTCCGGCCCCCTGGGCTCTAGAAGCCTCTCCCACAGAACTTGGGCATAGTGAGGCCAAGCTCTTCAGCTCTGTTCCTGCAGACCGGGCTTCTGCCCTGCACCACCATGATGTGGGATTTGTATATGGCTCAGCCCCTCTTTGAGCCTCAATGTCTATGACCATAAAATGGGGGTGACAGTGACACCCACCTGGCAGGATTGTCATGAGACAAAATAAGCGCATTCAGGGAAGGAGGTTAGCCTTCTATGACAGGATTTCTACTGAGGCCTCGGGCCCTGGCCCAAGTGACCAGCCCTCCTCCCAGCCAAGCGCCAGCCCTAGTCCAAGGAAGCTCCATGGAAGGAAGCAACAAAGGAGTACTAATAATATAGACCACTTAGTTGGGGCAGCATAGGCCAGGCACTTGCTAAACACTTTATACATCTTTTTTAACACTGAGGAAACAGGTCATTTTCCCCTTCCTGAAGCTCAGAGAGGTTAGATCCCATTCTGTCTAACTCCTTTTAACAGCCTCCCGGACCCCTTCCAGGCCCCACCCCTCTGCCTGAGTTAGTCTACCTAGCTGCTCCCCCCTGCACACTTCCCACGATGCCTTAGAGCTGCCCAAGTGTTTGGAGAGCCCTGCGGGTGTCACTGTGGCCTTCAGCGATCCATGATCCCATGAACTTGGATGCCACACCATGAGTGTAAGCATGAGTGTCAGGAGCGTTGGGCCAGGGAGAGGCCCTGGAACCTTTTCCAGAACCTCCAGGGCATCCTGACCCCAGTGTGGCAAAGCAAGGACTGCGATTTTCAGGCCTTCCCCTTCCACATGCTCTGGCACCTCCTTCCCCAACCCCGTCAGCCCGCAGCTCCCCCTGGTTCCCAAGGACTCCAAGTTTGTTCTCCCAGACTCAGAAAGCCGGTGGCATGGGGGTGTTCACCTGGGTGCCCGCGGCCTCCTACCTCCACGGAGGAGGGAGAGAAAGGGCAGAGCTCCAGCCCGGGTGCTGGAACCCTGGGACCCTGGGACCCGAGCGGCAGAGTGGGCTCTCATCCACTCGGTGAGATTGGGGGATGTGCTGGCCCCGGGGGGCCTGCTTCCTTGTCTGTGAAATGGGGATGGTGACCTCACCTGGCCCACCTGCCAGGGCGGCAGGTTACATGCTCTGAGCAGCGGGAAGTACTTCGTAGGTATCCGCTGGGCCCCCAGGAAGGGTATCTTCTAGAAACGAGTCGGCAAACCTTTTCTGCCACAGGCGGGAGAGTGCCTATTTAGGCTTTGTGGGCCAGCTGGTCTCTCTCTAACTATTCAGGCCTGCAGGCACTGGGCCAGAGAAGCCAAAGACACTAAGTAAACACATGGGTGTGACCGTGTTCTGATCCACTGTTCACAAAAACAGGCCGCAGAGGAGTTGGGGCTGCCAGCCGTGGATTGCCCATCCCTGATCTAGATGGGGCTCTTCTCAGCTCGGGGCTGGGGTGTTCTCTGAACCCTGGCCTCTCTGTGCTAGCCATATTAATGGCAATAAAAGATGACAAAACCTGCCATTTGTTCAGGGCTCTGGTATGTACTGAGCACCGTCCTAAGTATTTTATGGGTTTTATCTCATTCCACCCTCGTGGCATTTTGGTACTATTACAAATTCCATTTTGTAGAGGAGGAACCTGAGACAGAGAGGTGAAGTGGAATCCCCCAGGTGGCAGAGCTAACAGCGGTTGGACCCGGGCCTTCTGACCCCTGCATTCTTAACCGCGACCCCGTGGAGCCGGGGCCGGCGGCGGCAGTGGGGGTAGCTTCTCTGTCTCCTCCAGCTCTCCTCCAAGCGTCTGGTCTTCCAGCCAGGGTTGGCTTGGCCCCTTGGCTTTTCCGCTTCCACGCAGGTCTCGCCTGCCCCACGCCGCCCACCTGCCTCCTTGCCCCTCTCTGGGGACCCGCCACAGGCTCCGCGGGGGCTCAGTTGAGTGCATCTGAGATCGATGTTGTACACGAGAGGGTGCAAATGTAATGCTGGCTAAAGAGCATAATAGAATTTATGGAAATCGCTGGCTTGCACCACAGCCCGTGCAATGATGGAGGTGATTATTAATTAATCATGGTCTTGGGGGAACAGTATCAGTGCAAAGAGTAATTAAAATGAATCATTGTACAGTTGTACCGAGTGATGATTTATGAGCCCGAGGAATTGCCGCTCTGCCCTCTCCCTTCCGGCAGGCTCAATGGGAAGGATTAACTGGACGGATTGTTTTCAACAAAACCAGTGGCTTACGGACAGATTTCGATCTGGACATCATCAGCCTGAAGGAGGACGGCCTGGAGAAGGTACATGGGCTCAGGAGAGGGAGGGACAAGACCTCGGGGGCTTGACATGCCCTGGCATGGCCTGTGCCTTGGTCCTTTGGAGAACATGAAGGCGTGGTCGGGCTGGACAGGTGCAGAACCCAGTGGCCTGGCCGTGGCCAACACCCAAGCTGTCACTCTGCGAGCAGGGGCCACTGGAGATTCTTAACCTGGGAAAAGTAATGAAAGGCTCAGGGGGCAGAAAGACAGACCTGACTTTGGGTAACAGAAACTTCAACAACAAGTGGGTGCCTACCTGGGAAGTAATGAGCTCACTGTCACTGGAGGCATTTAAGCAAAGATTAAGCAACATGATTGCTTGTCTGGGAACTGGAGTTCGTTCTTATCTTTGGAGAGAGGTTGAAGTGCATGGATTCTGAATTCCCCGCCTCTTGGTTTCTAAGTCCTCAATGATTCCAGGGGGTTTGGATGAGGATCGCAGGCCCTTTTGGGGCTGGGGCCTCCATTTGGCCACCAGCAAATGTTTGTAATGAGGCCAGTTCTGCTCTCTGGGAACAGTCCACATATTCTGTTGAGTCAGGCTGCTGGGCTGAGGAGATTCAACATTAGCCCCTAATTCTGCACATCCTTGGGGCCTTTAGGCCAGGGCCTCGGCCACCCCCTTTTGCACCAGGGCATCTGTCCAGCCCTGGGAATGGGGTATATGAAGTGCAGGGAGCAAAAGCCCGGAGAAGGAGGGGCTGGCTCTGAGGTCTCTGGGCCTTCAGGATGCCCTGATTACTCTCCTGTCCACCCCTGTCTGCCCTGGGTCAGGCCTCTCCCTTGGATGATTTTAGCACCCAGCCCTGGCTTCTCTACCTCCACTCCTGAGGCCCCGGCCATCCTGAGTGTATACACACACACACACACACACACACACACACACACACACACACACGCACGCATGCACACAAAGCTTCCCAACGCACAGCCCTGCCCGGCTCCGCTGGTACCCATGGTCCCCCAGCACTGAGTGAAGCTCTGGCCTCTCACCTGAGCCTTTATGGCCCTCCGAGAAATAACCCAGCCTGCCTTTCCAGGCCCAGCTTCCATGGCCCCCAAAACATTCCCCATGGCCCAACCATGCCCACTCCCTCGGGCCCCTCCTTTGCCCACGTGGTCACCTGGTTGTAGGAGTGGCCTCTGGCTCCTGGGTTCGCTCCCTCAGGCACACACCTGGCTCTGGCTGGGTTGTACCTTGTGGCCAAGTTGACTCCATTCACGTCTGAGTTTCCCCACAGACTCCCGGGGGCCCTGGACAGAGGTGTCCAGGGAAATCCCACCTTCCTCTGCCACTCTTTCGTGCCACATACAGCATCAGCCCCTTAGGGACAGGGGTTGTGGCTTCTGCTCCTAAGATCAGGGAGACCAGCTGGTCCAACCTCCTCATGCTAGGAGTCCTTGAGGAGCAGTCTCCCGGCTCCTGTTTAAACCTGGCCGCGCAGGGGGGCCCTTCCTGGTCCCCAGCATTGCTGCAGTGGGATCCACTCAAGTGGCGTTTCATTTTTGCTCTCTCAGCTGTCGGTCTCTAGGGCTGGCCTAAAATTCCGAGGGTGGCAATTAGCCGCACATACACCGCGGCGGCGATGCACTCCTGGGCCCGCAGCAGACCTCAGGAGTGGGTCACGAGAGCACTCCCCATCTGAACCCATCACAGCAGCCTTCTCCCAACCAAGGGCAGAGTGCCTAGAGCCAACACCCGGGAAAAGTCCTCCTACTGTCCCAGGACGAAGGCTGACCTGTGCCCTCCGGAGGCTCCTGCTCGCAGCCACCTGGAGCGTGGGCAGACAGCCTCTGTGGGGCTCTGGCCTCCTCGGTCCTGACTGTGCTCGCATCCCCAGGGCACCTGGGGCCTAACAGGGCGCATGCAGCTGGAAGTCCGTAGATGCTTGCAGGGGCGAGGGTTTCAGCTGCTCGGGAACCGCTGGACAGATGTCTGTGGGCCCTCCAGGTGGGCTGCTGGGGACCCTCGTGAGCTCGGCCCACTTGAGAGAAGGACCTCTGACGCCATCTGCCTGTCTCTCCTGTGGGCTCTGCGGGGGTCTGCACAGACAGAAATCCTGCCTGGAGAGGGTGCTAAGCCCAAACACAGCCACCCTGCCTCTTGTCTCATGGCTTCTGTTTGCTAAGCCGGGTCACACTGATCCCGCCAGCTCCCGCCGGGGCTCTGGGAGGATTAGAGCAGAACTACCCAGGCATAATTACATGGCTCCTGCTATCAGCTTTGAGCAGCGCTCTGAGTGGGATGTTTGTGTTCGGCCTCTCTATTTAATTGATTAAGTTTCCTGAGTGCCCCCCAGCTAGGCCAAGGACAGAGTGGGCATGCCAAAACCTTCCTTGAGGGAGAAGACCCGAGAGGGGGGTGGAGCCGGGCAGCGGTGGACCTTCACGAGGCCCCGGGTGTTAGAAGGATTGGTAAACTGGATCTTCCCTGGCCTCCTCCAGCTTTGGGCCTGATAGCAACGAGCGTACTGTGGGGACACAGATGATGCCACCTTGGCCACCTTATCTGCCAACTTTAGAAGTAAAACCGCAAAGCTAGCTGCTTTTGAGCCCAGCGGCAACCAGGCCCACAGGGAGGGCCCTCGTCTCTGGTCTGCCACCCCCAAAACAGTTACAAAGGCCAGCTCCTGCCCAGAGTGCCTTCCCGCAGGTGCCATGTCTCCTCTGCTGTTGACCCATTCTGCAAATGCTTAGTGAACGTCTCCCTTGCTCCAAGCTCTGCCCTAGACTGTGGAGGGTGCATGGCCCTGGGAGGTGGCACCAGAGTGGAGACCCAGTGAGTGAGCAGCTGGGTGCCCAGGCTCTTCCCCAGGAAGAGGGGGGGCCCACTGGGCTCAGAGTGCATCTGCCCCAGGACCCCTGATTTCCTGGTGCACATGCTCCACCCCTGGCTGGGCTGAGGTCCCTGGACTGTCTTTATGCTCACCTTCTCCTCTGCGTTTTCCCCACCAGTTGTGCTGGGGTTGCCAGCAAGGGGGAAGTGGCAGAATTCTGGAGACTCGACACCTTGGGGCCCTCCTCCCACAAGAAGAGAGGCAACAGGGTTGTCTGAAAGGTTAGCTTGCAGCACGTTAGCTGTGATGACGATGCTCCCGAGGAAGGGGAATGAGTGGATGATCTTGTTGATGTGGAGAAAGGATGGAAAGACGGGGGGCTCAGCCCCTGTTCTCTGTGTGTCTGTCCATCCAGGTGGGCGTGTGGAGTCCTGCGGAGGGGCTCAACATCACGGAGGTCGCCAAAGGCCGAGGCCCTAATGTCACTGACTCTCTGACAAACAGGTCGCTCATCGTCACCACTGTGCTGGTAAGAGCCTGCAGCCCCGCAAGAGGGATGGCATGAGCCGGGGACGGGCTGAAAGGACCCAGACTGGGCACCTCTCAGGGCTATTTCGAGACTGGAAGATGGGGGGTGGGCAGGGAAACATGGAGTGTCCCTCAGAAAGCCCTCAGTCACTGGAACAGAGCAACTTGCCCATGGTCACAGGCCAAAGACCACAGGGGCTGCCTGTCAGCGGCCTCTTCCCGAAGACAGAGTGGGCTGGCCCTCATGCCTGTCTGAGATCTGCTTGGAAGCCCATCTGCAGAGGCCTGTGTGTTTGCATCTCCCCCCACCCACCCACCTACCCCTGAGTCCAACTACAAACCACGATGGGGTAGATGGAAGGAGGTTAACCTGCCCTTTGCCCCAGGACTCAGGCCCTGCCTCTTCACCTCAGCTCCCAGGGAAAAGGCACTTCTCGCTAGTACCCCCAGCTGTGATGGGTGCTCCGGCCACACCCAGAGAGCCCAGAGGTTCTGCGGGGAGCCCACACATGCCACGGTCCACAATGCCCACCCCAAGAGCTCTCCTCCGTGGTCACTCTACCTGCCACCCTCACTCCATTCCCCAGGACTGAATAGCGCCAAGGAGTGGCTCTTGGCATCTCCCAGGCTCTCTGCACCTTGGAGCTCAGGATGGGCAGAAAGACGCACCCACACCACTGGCCTCTTAACTGGCCAGTGCTGTGGCCCCTCCGCATGCACCAGCCCTCCCTGGAAGGCCTCCAGGGTCTCAGGACCCACCCTTTCAGAGACACAACACTGCTCTTGGGGACCCAAGCTGGGCCATGCGGGGGAGAGGCAGCCTGATCACCACCCAATAACTTCTGACCAAAGACCTTTGGAGGACAACTCGGTCAGCTTCTCCTTCTAATTAAGCTCATACAATATAATAAATACAATACGAATAAAACAAATCCTGTACAGAGCAGAGGGCTCAGCCCAGTTTGGAGTGTTCCAACCAAGTAAGGCTGCCTGGGATGGAATCAGAGAGTAGGGCTGGGCACCCGGCTATGGGCCTTTCCACGGTACTGGGGTATGGTTTCCCCACCTGCTTCCAACTGGGGGCAGCTCAACTGGGGCCCACAGAATGGTCCTTTGCCCTCCCTCTCGTGTGACTCACCAGACGGATGCTTGGCGGCGGGCGGTGGACACCCCAGAGCAGGAAGGGACGTGGTAGTTAAACCCCAGCACCTGTGGCCCGTGGGTCTCACCCCCAGTGTCCAGGGTTGTAACCACGAGAGGATCCATGTCAAGGGAACCCTAACAGTGGTTCTGGACATACTGTCGATGGAGCCAGGATGGGAGGGCTGGGGAGACACCTGTCCCTCCAGGTTTAGGCATGAACCCCCCCACCCCCGAGCACCTCCCCCAACACCATACATCCTGCCTGCCTTTATTGATCAAATTTTTGTTAACTAAAAAAAATAGAGAAATCAGACTACTGAGACCAATAAGTCAAAAGATTTCATCAGGAACAGGGGAAAAATTGTAAAAAAAAAAATCTAAAAAAGATTAAAAAGAAATAAACAAAAAAGAGCAAAGGAATTAAAGACTGATGAGCAACTGAAGGGATATCGATGTGGATGCAAATAGAAAAGAAGAGATTTGAAAGGAAACAAAAAAGTTAAAGGGAAAATAATAATGAGAAAAATGAAAATAAAGCACAAGATGAAAAGGGAAATCATCAAGGAAGACGAAAAATTAAAATAAATAATTAACAGCTCCAGCTAGACAAGGTAAAAAATGTAAAACCAAAATGTCAGAAAGCAAGAGGATAAAAGTGTGACAAAGCTAAAATATAAAAGGGTAAAAATAAAATAATAAAAAGGTAGTAAAAGATTAAAAACAGAGCTGCATAAAATGTGAGATATAAATAAAACACTTTGCACAAGATGAGATTAAGAAAGGTAAAACTAGTGCGCTCGGAGAGATTAAGAAGAAGGGTAATGACGTGGGCCCAGATGATTCAGCCACAAAACAATGCCCTCAGGTGAGTGGCAAGCTAGATGTAATATGCCAGGATACCAGATACACACACCTTTAAAGACCACGGGTATGCATTTTATTAAATTGGCAGCAGCCTGATTTCAAGGGCATAAAACCCTTCTGCAAAGGCGCTCGGGATTTGCTTACACCGCAGAGGCAGGATCCGGCAGACATCCTATGCCCTTCTTGAAGCTTCTTGGTCAACACTCACAGCTTCTTGCAAAGGTCCGGACCTGATGTGCTCGGTCCCTTGATGGAAGTCCCGCTCGCAGCTTCCCGCTGGCTCTCAGGCCCCCACCCCACCCCGGGGATAGGGGAGGAGAGAAACCCCTCTTGGCGCATGGCCTGCACAAAGCTCCATCTGTCCCACTGCCCCTCATGTGGGTGAACACTAGCTCAGCAGCTGCTGGGGACATGCAGTGTGACCAGGATGCAGGGGCAAGACTGTGATGGTTAAGAACACAGACCTTTGGGTCTGAGCGCTGGCTTCACTGTTAATTCGCTGTGTGACCCCAGAAAATTGCTTAACCACCATGCCTCCGTTTCCCCACGTGATAATAATTGTATCTACTTCATAGAGTTGAGAGTCTGATGGATTGATAAATCTCAATGGCACAGAGTGCGTGCCAAATGATAGCTGCTGTTGTTACTAATGACTATTATTGATTACAAATCCAGGCCCTGGTGAGCTCAGGTTTAGTACAGTATGCAGAGTGTTCTAGAGAAAGCCTCGGTTTCTGCCCACCCATGAGCCCTGAACTTCACTGAAGACTGACCCCTGACCACAACCACAGAGGTTCTCCCCAGCACAGGCTACCTCAGAGATTTCGAACTTGCATTCAACAGAACCCCAACACTCCCCATGGTGGACACTCCCCAGCCTCTTGCCTCCTTCTTTCCTGACTGGTCCCTGAAGGCATTAGGGTTTGTGACCTCGACCTCCTGAGTCCCTCACAGCTCTAGTCTCCTATTGATATGTCAGACTCCAGACCCAACCACGACCTCATCGTCTGCTTTGCCCAAAGTCTGAGCTCCTGGGCCTGACATCATGATAATTCCCTCCCCCTGGCCCCCGTTGGCCTTGACCTCTGACATGGTTGCTGACCCACCTGAAGCAGATGTCCCACCCACCGTCTTAACCCCATCCTGCAGTATCAGATGCCCACATGGACTGGGGGCGGCCCATGATTGCTGTCTGCATCCCCACTGCCCAGAGCTCATGAAGGGTAGGGTCTGCTTCTCCCTGTGGGTCCATGAGAGAAGGCCAGTCTTTCCTGGAGGAAGAGAAATGGCCAGGAAAATGTCTGGAGGATCCCTGATGGGGCCAGGGGGTGTGACACATAGCCTTTGCTCTGGTCTCCGAGAAACTCTCTGTGTCCAGCTAAAAATGTCTTCAGAGTCTCCTGAGTGAGAGAGGCCCACTCCCACGCAAGGACGGGCCTGGGGCCTCCTTCCCAAAAACCTCAAGCTGGTCCAGATGCTCCTGAACATCTCAGTGTGGTCCGCCTGTCTCAGAGCCCGGTTGGGGGCGGGGGGTTGCTGTTCTCAGGCTGGGGCTCTTTGGGATAGCCGTACCAGTTGTGGAGAGTGGCCCAGCCCAGCTGCTCTAGCTGAAAACCCAGCCCCAGCACTTGGCAGCGTGAAAGCAGGGCCAGCACGTCCTGTGAGTGCACTGAGGACCCAGGCTGCCTGCAAGTGTGTTGTCCGGGCAACGGCACTTTGAGTGACAGGCAGGTACCAAAGCCCAGCTCAGGAACATCCAACTGCTTTGCCCCCAAAGAAAAGGGCTGGACCCCTAATCAGAGGGGTTTCTGCTCTTTCTTTTCCCTGGAATCTGGGCACGACAGAGGGCCACAGCTCCCACTGGGCTGCCCTAAACCTGCCTCTCCTCCCCTATCCCGAACCCTGGAGTTAGGAGCAAAGGGTGCTTTACCATGGACACACAGATGGACGGAGCCCTAACTCCACTCACCCTGGCCCCTCAGAGCTGCAGATGGCCTTCTCCATGCCTGAGGTCGAGAGCCTGGAAGCCTGCCCTCTCCCGCCCCCTCTCTGCCTGGCCCCAGCTTCTGTTCGGGCTCTGCTCTTCCACAGGCTCATGAAAAATTCATCCACTCCAACCTCAGCTCACACACTGAGAAAACACACCTGCCTCACTCCTGGGGGCCCTGCCTTTGAAGGTTCCGAGGTCTTCAGGCTGCTGAAGAAAGCAGCAGTGTTGACATGCGTGCGGTTATGTGTGTGGGTGTGGGACTGGCCCAGCCACACTCAGGTGTCTGGAGACACACTGACGGGTGTATTTGTGCCGTGTGCACGTTGTGACCTCGTAAGACTCAACCACCAGGCAGGACCCCTAGCACGGGGCAACAGGAGAGGCAGAGAAGCAAAAGAAGGCCAGGGTGTGGGCTGGGAGGACCATCCCAGGCCAGGGACCACCGTAGGCCCCACCTCTGGGGTGGGCAGGACTCCCAGTGCTCTGTCCTGGTTCTAACAGGCAGAAGCCAAGGTCCTGGGTGCAGAGCCTTTCGCCCCTGTGGCCAAGCAGGGCTGGGCTGACAGAACACCAAGAATGTGGTACTTAGTGCCGGTGGCATATGGTGCATACGGGTGTGCACTTGGGTGGACTGTATCGATGCTGCCTGTGTCCGAAGGGGGCTTGGGAATGCAGATAGCGGGCAGCTCACCCTTGCATCCTTCCCCCCAAGACCCCTTTCCAACCCCACAGGTCCAGCCGCCGGGAGAAGCTAAGCACAAGGCCCAGCTCTCACGTTGGTGTCAGTGATCAGAGAGAAACCAGACTGAGAGAGCTGGCCACGAAAAGTCGGAAAAGGTTATTTTTCTGGACCCCTCTTTCCTGTGGCTTGTTGAAGAGAAATATTACCGCACTCCTATGGCTGTTCTCCCAGAGCAATAGGAGAGCATGAAGTTATGAAATTGAGGGCACCTTCACTGAGCAATCGATTAGCAGCCGAGAGAGCTTGTGAATTGGCTGTCTGGACATTTCCAGTAATAAATTGTGAAATAGTCCATGAATAAGTAGTTGGCAGAGTTCAGAATTACCCCCTAGGAAATGTTGCAGGTCTAGAGACACATTACTAAGGCGAGCACCATTTTAATGCTCTGGGCTTTGGCTGTTAAATATGTATGCCATCCGCAAAGCACTTCCCGAAATTAATGGCATTTTACAGCTGCTCCGAAGGCAGCGTATTTATATGGAGATGTATAGATTCTGGGGCTGTGGTGGCTTCACAAATGAAGTGCTAATTTTAGAGAATAGGCCCAGGGAGGGGCGTGGAGGGAGGGTCAGGAAGTGAGCTATCTCAGGGGCCTTTCCTGAAAGGTTTTTGGCCACCAGCTATGGTTTTCAACCTTTGGTGACCTTGGACATGGTCTCTAGGCTGGAAAGGGCACTGAAGTCACGGGCTACCCGGCACACGGAAAGAAGGTAACGATATTAATAAAAATCAATCAATCAATCATATTGACGACTTACATTTGCCAGGCTCTGTTGTAAGTGCTTTTCATATAGATTGGCTCATTTACTCCTCACAGCAACCCTGTCTGGTGGGTTCTAGGATTCTCCCCATTTTACAGAAGGTGGTAGATTTTGTCCAGGAATCTGTGTGTGGTTGGTGATTCCCCTGGGAGAGCTAGTACCTTCTCTCCAGTTCTTTCCCTGAGCTCACATCAGGGCCAACAGGGACAGTGGTATACTTTGTTCACTGCACAAGAATATCCGACCAAAAGGATGGGGGTTGGGGGGATTGAGGCTCCTGCCCCCAGGCCCTGTTCACTGGGCCCCATGCCAGGGTTCGTGGCAGCACCTTCTCAGAGATGGATTTGCACGATGGCAGTGTGTGCACCAACCACAGCCCCCTTCCCTCCAGGTAGCCCCCCACAACTTCCCCGGCCCCACCTGGGCTCTTCTCACCAACCCTGTGAGCTGCCTACTTGGTTGCAGGGTGGGGATGGGAGGCGCGGAGATTCAGCATGGACTCCAGCCAGAGGCCCCAGTGTTTGTTCTACCCAATAAGACTGAGAGGTGATTTTCTCAGAATCCCTGGAGAGGCAGGAACCCCTTGGGGGTTCACACACGCCCCCCGTCCTTGCTCTGAAGCATCCCAAAGGATTGTTGAAAATCTAGAATAAATGAGTTCTGGGGTGGGGTGGGATTTTGAAAGGTGGCAGTACTGGGGGATCAGGGCCAGAGAATCGAGCCCACCTGCCACAGTGGGAGCCCAGCAAGAGGCTGCTGGCGACCTGTCCTGCAGGCCTATGAGGCCTGAATCAAGCAGCCTGTGAGAGAGCCTGAATCGGTGTCCGGTGCGTAGTAGGAGCTCAGGAAACACTGAGTTGGCTCAGGGGTGGCTCGTCCACCACAGCCCGGGGACAGGGACTTGTCAGTGAGGCTGGGTGGGTGGACCCCGGGGAAACATGGACTTGTGCGTCGACCTGCACTTTGGACCCCTGCTGTGGGCCTGGATTTTACCACAGCAGAGCCCACAGTTCTCACCCCATAGACCTCAGACTGGACCACTGTCTGTCCTGCCTCTGCCCCCGCTTCTCCGCAGGGCAGCGAGGGGCTTGTTTCTAAATGAGAAATCAGGCCGAGGTGTGCCCTCTTCCCAGCCACTTGCTGGGTCCCCATTGCCTGTAAGGGAGGGAGCCTGAGGTGGGACAGAGGGACCTGTGCTCTGGCTACCGAGAGCTACCTGCTGAGGACCCCCTGCCCACCAGGGAGAGGCACTCTGGAGCTCGGGGCCTCTGGCACTGTGAGGGGGTTAAGAACTTGCACTCCGGGGCTACGCCCGCCTGAGTTCAGGGGCTCTCCTTGCCAGCAGGGTGAGCTCACACCAACCAGTCACACGTCCTTGTGCGTTCACTGTCTGCATCTGTAAAGCGGGACTATTGGTCCCTCCCCCACTTCCTTCCCCCCCCCCCCCCCGCAGGGTGACATCCGGGTCTGTCGAGCACGCCCTTGCTGGGCTGCATGCTAGGCCCTCTACAGGCACTTGGCAATTGCTGACTTCCTAGTGCCTCCTGGGTCCACATACGAGTGCAGGCTCTCATACCAGCCCTCACTCACCTAGCATATCCTCGTGCTGGGGACTGAGATCCTCGGAAGGAGAGAAGGGTATCAGGGAGAAGTCAGGGAGGATACTGGATGGAGGGTCTTGTGCAGTGGGGTGCTCACACATGAGCAGACATCAGAATCCCCTGGAGGGCTGCTTTTTTTTTTTTAAGATTTATATATTAATTTGGAGAGAGTGAGTGTGATTGTGAGTGAGGGGAGGGGCAGAAGGAGAGGGAGAATCCCAAGCCGACTTCCCATTGAGTGTGGAGCCCAGCGGGGGCCCGATCCCATGACCCTGAGATCATGACCTGAGCCAAAATCAAGAGTCGGATGCTCAACCGACTGAGCCACCGGGGCACCCCTCCCTTGGAGGGCTTCTTAAAACAGATTGCTGGGCTCCACCCCGGAGTTACTGGCCCAGTGGTCCGGGTGGGGCCAGAGAGCGTACATTTCTCACAAGTTCCTGGGTGCTGCTGGGGCTGCTGGTTGGGGACCACACTTTGAGAACTGCTGGCCTTACACTGATGGTGCAGCAGAGGGCTTGGGATTCAAATCCGATCATTTTGAGTCCAGATGCCTGTTCCACCCCTTCCTAGCTCTGTGACCATCGGACAGTTCATTAGTAAATACCTACGAAGCCCCCGCCTCGGGCCACTAGAAGTTGCAGACGAGCAGAGGTTCCAGCCCAAGCTCTCTCCTGACCCATGCCGCCTTTGTCAGCTCCTCTCCCATCTCTCCCTGCAGGAAGAGCCCTTTGTCATGTTCCGGAAGTCCGACAGGACCCTGTTTGGGAATGACCGCTTTGAGGGCTACTGCATCGACCTGCTCAAGGAGCTGGCCCACATCCTAGGCTTCTCCTACGAGATCCGGCTGGTGGAGGACGGCAAGTACGGGGCACAGGACGACAAGGGCCAGTGGAACGGCATGATCAAGGAGCTCATCGACCATGTAAGCGGGAAGGGAGCCCCAGGGGCTGGGGAACCCCTGGGAGGTTTGGCCAAGTCCTGTGCATGTTAGGGTGGGGCATCCCAGCAGGTGGGGACCCTGGGGGCAGGGGAGATGGAGACAAAGGTTGTGACCTTGGGAAGGACCCAGCTCCCTGGGTCCACACAAGCACACATGAACTCCCCCCGCCCCCACCCCGTCTGACTGAGCCTTTCCCACTGGTATCTTTGGTGAGCTCACTCTGGAGGACTCCCTCAGCTCCTCACTGCTTCTTGCTCCTTTAGGAGCAACCAAAGGATGCCCCAGCCACGTGGGCAAGGTGCCAGCACCAGACTCTAGGGCATAGAGTTAGATCTGTCCCTGCCTTGAGTGACTTTGGGCCCAGTGGGGAGACCGGTGGTGCAGGGAGCTGAGGGCTTGGTGAGGGGACAAGCAAGGGTCAGCTGGGACGTACTGTGCCTGAGTGGGGAGAGGACAGGGAGGCAGACAGGTGGGGCTTTAGGAAGAAGGGGCAGCTGGTGGGAGGGGCCTGGGGTTTGTGGGACGCTGGGGGGAAGACAAGCCACGGTGTGCGGTCACCACAGCAGGGGGCAGGCAGGGGCCCTGGGTTTGAGTGCCGGTACCCTGCTCACCATCTGTGTGACAGGGGCCTTTCAGGGGACCCCCTCTAAGCGATTTCCTCATCTGCGGGATGGGTATCCTTCCTTCCTTCCTCAGAGGATTACTGTGACCCGGGATGGAAGTACTAGGTGTGGGGCGCAGCCCATGGCGAGGCCCTCAGTAAGACGAAGGCTTGTCAGATGCCCAGACGCAGCCCGCCGGAGCTGAGGCTCAGGCCCCACGTTAGCACCTAGCAGGTGTGCGGCCGGGTATGTTCATCAACCTGCCTGAGTCTCCGTTTCTTCACTTCTAAAATAGGAGTAAGTGACAACCACCAGAGCTCCTGCAGTTGTTGCAGGAATGAAAGGAGGAGCCATTTGTGGAGGCTCAGGTGGCACGTAGCAAACGTTTCCTGCCTTCCAGCCCAGAGCCCTCAGCTTTCCAGAGGCATCTGTTAGCAAAGACCTGCTAACGAATACGAGGACCTGAGCTGTGCTAGACCCCTTATGTTCCCCTCCTGTCAGTTATCCTCACGACGACCCCGTGAGGTAGGTCCTGTTCCTACCACCCATTTTACAGATGAGGAAACTGAGGCAGAGAGCGGTGAGGACCCACGGCTCGTAAGTGCTGGAGCTGGGGTTCAAAGTGGCGGAGTCTTTGGAGGCTCTCTGCTTTCAGAAGCCCCGTGCTCCAACCCCTGCAAAGAGCCCTCTTGACCCCAGGAGGCAGGGCAGAGGTAGGGCCCCGCTCTGTAGATCTTGGCATGGAAAGTACCAGCCATGGGATTGTCACCGAGGCGGGGAGCTGCCCTTCAGGGACCCTGGAGCCTTGGAGGGGAGGGAGCGGTGGGAAGGCTCAAGCAGAGCCTTTATTTCCTAGGCCCCCTGGAACTCAGGCTCCCATGGAGGGCTGGTGGGAGAGGCTCGTGGTCACCAGCACGAACTTGGGCTGGGCTTCATTCCCACTCCACCATTACCTAGCTGTGCAGGCCTGGACAAATTTCTAGGCCTCTCTATGTCTCTGTTTCCCTATCTGTAAAATGGGAATGGCAGTAACTGAGCCAGCCCCATAGGCTGTGAGCGCTAAGTTCACAACCGTGCATTAGGCCATCTGCACCAGGTCAGTGCTTGATCTTCTTATTTTTATTTGTATCGTACGGTTACTCCTTCAAGGCCAAGGAGGGGGCTTCAGGAAGTCCCCTTAAGTCCCTGAGCTCCTAGTTTCTAACCCAACATCGAGAATACGAATACGGAATACCTGCCCTGTGTTCTTCCCAGCATGTTGAGCGGCTGGGAGGAGACAGCTGGTGGGGAAGCACTCCTCGATTGTGGAATCCAGTGTAAAGGGAAGGGAGTGGTGGTGTCACCATTATTAGTAATAACTATAATTATTATGGAAATTAGTCAGCAGGCCCCAGAGGCCTCTCCATTTCTCAGCTCCCCCACTGCAGCTTGGTGTGGGGGCTCTGGAATGCGGGGCCCCAGTGGGTGTCAGTGCCTGTCCTTTGCAGAGGCAGGCTGGGCTGGGGAGGGGGTGGGGGTCCCACGGAGCGCTGGGGCCACCTGTGGAAATGAGCAGGGCTGGTGCCAGTTCTGGCAGCCACAGCATCTCCAGCGTCCAGAGCTTTGAAGAGCATTCACAAGGGGGCAGATCAGAAAAACCCAGCCTTTCTAAGGCCTCTCCAAGCTGACCCTCCACTGGGGGAAAGAGGGGAGGCAGCCTCATCCGCGGCCTCCATGCGGCGCCATATCCATCAAGTCACGGGCCCTGACGGGACATGCAGGGGACCTTGTTAAACCCGATTCCCTACAATTGATGAGCCTATTAATCCTAGCTTGGTGCCATTTTTAATAACATCATAACCATTTATTAGTGTCGTCGGATAATTAGTCTTCTCGCTAGCTCATAGGTAGCGTGGTAAAGGCTTGGCAATATTATTACTTCCTTATTAGGGATCTGAACGCAGACGTAAAAGTGATGAATGCCTGCCTTTGCAAGAATCTGCCCCCTGAGGCCCATTTGGCGGCCCTGGGTGGAGCCTCTGACCAGCAGGACTTCAGAAGTCCTTCTCGGACACTCTGCTCACCTCTGTCCCACGCCACATGGCCTTCCAGGGAGCCAGGCTTATGGAGGAAGTGGGGCAGGCTCAGGGTGCGACCCCCTCCTGCGGACACACTTCTCTTGCCCCCCTCACCCCACTGCCTCTTCCAATGGCGCGAGCAACAGACGGATCGGACAGAGCGGTGATTTCTCCATCCGTCAGCCTGGCTCTCCCAGACTGTCGTTCTCTCCAGCCTTACTGTCTGCTCTCTCTCATTTCCCCTCTCCCGAAGTTCTTCTGCCCACGTCCATGCCTTAAATTACTCCCAGGTGTTTTAATGACTCTGGAATCCAATAGAGACGACTTCACATTCCAGGTCTAGCACATACTCAATCTCTCTGGCCTCTCTTTTCACATCTATGAGATGGGAGTAATAAAAAAAAAAAAAAAAAAAAAAAGCCTTCTTCACAGGGTTTGTAGGATGATTTAATGAGATACGGCCCGGGGAGCTTAGCAGAGTGCCTGGCTCTCCGTAAATGGGCAGCACCTGGGAGCTGCCCCTTAGCCTTCCCTCCAGGGACAGCCCTGCTGTCTAAAGTACGCATGTGGATGAACGCGGTGGCAGGAGCAGAGCTGGTCCCTCAGCCACGGTCATCCTGGTGGGCCACAGCGACCCGGGATCTCAACCTTGTGCCTCTGAATCCAAATAGGAGCGTCAGGAAACTGACTCACACTGATCAGACTCACAGGGAACGGAGGCACGTTGCAAGGCCCTTAACTTCACTCGGGGGCATTGACCTTTCCTGACACCTGCCATCCAGAGCTTCTGTCCTGGCACCTGGTGCCCAGGACCGTGCTGGGGGGTGGGGAGCGGGTGGTGGCTGAGCTTTCAGAGTGTGGAGAGTCTGAATCCAAGAAGAGAGGCTGCTGCTGGAGAAGGGGGCAAGAGACGTTCTTGAAGAGCCTTGGGTGCTAAACGGAGGTATTTGGTTTTCATCCTGAGAGCTGGGGGGGACCACAGCGGGAAGGGAGTGACATGAGAATCATGTGGAGGAAAATCACTGTGCCTCTGGGCTAAACTGGAGCCGGTCTGGAGGCCATCGCTGGGGCCTGGGTGAAGGAGAGCATAGTGGAGAGAAAGAAGGGAGTGCTGCCGTGGGGAAGGAGGGAGGCAGATGGCTCAGGATGGAGACGAGAAGGTAGAATTGAAAAGATCAGTGATGGGTTGCATGAAGGAGGTGAGGCAAAGGGAGGATTTTTGCACCAGGACAGGTATGAAATTCCAGCTGGACAGGTGACCGTGTCATCCCCAAATAAAGAGCCTCGTGGTCAAATCGGGGAAGTGGGGGAGGTACGGAGATCACGCTGGGACTGAGGTGCCAGGAGGTGGCTGAATATATGGCTGGGCAGTCAGAGGAGAGAGCAGGGCAGGAGGTGGAGATTTGAGAGGCATCAGCCCAGCCTCGTGGGGGAACCTCGGGAGGCAGTCAGAGGCGGGACTGCTGGGCAGAGGGGAGATGGGAACCTGGGGAGGACCCGAACGACAAGGAAACATAGGGAGAGAGGAAAGGGAGGGCTCCACAAGACGCCAGAGCTGCCGAGGCCAGAGTGGAAGGAGGAGAACCAGGAGAGCATGGGTGACAGATGCCGAAGGAGGAGAGGCTCCTGGAGAGGCACGGGCACAGGGTCACACGTGACAGACAGGGAGGTCAAAGGAGGGGCGTGAACAGCGTCCACGTGTTGGCGCGAGCAGCAGGGTCAGCCCCGGCTTGGGTTTCCTGAGTGCTCCTGGCCTGGCTCCCTGCAAATTTTATTCTCTGTGACCCAGGAATCCGGTCCTGGCTGCCTCTCCTAAGCCCTGGAATCAGGGGGAGTGGGTTGGGCAGAGACGAAGCAGGAGCCTGGCCTCAAGCGAATGCATAAATGCCCCCCAGGTCACAGGCAGCCGTTAGTTCTCCTTTCTCTCAGTTTTCATACCTCACTTAGAGCAGGTGAGGAGGATTTGCTAGCGCGTGGATGGGCCCGGACCAAAATGGGGGATAGAACAGGATGGAGACGAGGAGCGGTCACGGGTAGCCGCGGTATGTCATCCTTTCCCTTGTGAGAGACTTGGCACGGCCCGGACATCCCCTCTGCCTCCTCGTCGTGTTGAGTGCCGAGCAGAGAGAATGGCACGGCTCCAGGTGCCCATTCCCCCCGCCCAACCCTTCTTCCAGATAGTGAGCGCCTGAGGAACCGCTCTGGGCGTGGGCTGGGCACAGGGAGCAGGCGTTGGTGAATGAGGGTGTGTGAGTGAACACACGGACTCACACACCTTCCCCAGAGGCACGGCTGTGAGCTCCTAAACATTGAGCTTCCCATC